TACGCATCAATATTTGCCTTATATGTAATAGTCAAAATTTGTTATTGTGGTACGATTACTTCAATCGGCCGTCGAGCGGATCTCTACCCAAATTAGCATCGGTAACCTCGATAGTCACATGCCCGCACATTTTTCTTTGCCATGACTTTGATAAGTTACATAGTCACTCCTCCTTAGAATCACTGACTTTGGAAGGGGGAGGTCAACTGTATCTGTAATGATCGAGAATTGTTCGGGATTTCCCCCCATGTTCAACAGGACATTGACAAAGACGTTCTAGTATAATCTGGAGTAATTGGTATATTGAGAGATGTTTTCTTCAAAAGCTTTTCATAAATGTATTACTATCAAAAGTGAGCAATCACAAAATTTGCTGACCAAACATTAAAAGTAGCCAGGTGAAGCAATCTTTTTACTAACATAATTGGCCATAGGACAATAAGTAAACTTGCTTACAGTACAATGTGCATATACCTATTACTACTTTGCATAAATATTGAGTGAAAAAAGACTTTGTCGAAGACAAAAATTTCTAAAGCCTTAGTTATAATGAAACTCAAAGAAACGAATTACAATACGTCGTTGTATTCTTAAGAAGAAACACTTGTCATAGTTCAACACATATAATGCAAATTTTCACATACTTTGAAAACGCATAAGTAAATTGAAAATTCTACTGAAAGAATAATGTTCCTATTGTTCTAACCAATTTTAATAAATACACGTTATTTTGGACACCATTGTCTTTCTCAAAGAAAAGGCTTAGTAGGTCCATAATTTTAATAACTTTCTGGACAGTCTATAAAGTTTTATCTCGTTTGTTAGTCAACAGGTACTTAATAATAAATGTTGCGCAAAAGAGTTGTAAAACGTGACTGGATTCTGGCAAATGTCTAACGGTATAGTTTATAAAACTTAAATTTTAGAAGATCTGCAAATTTTTTAGAATACAATGACACATTTAAATTCTTTTTCTGCAAAGTAGTAAAAGTTACATGCATATTATATTGTAAGTTTTTATTGTACTATGGCCAATTGTGTTAGTAAAAAAATTGCTCATCTATGGGCTATTTTTAATGCTGATCTATATATATGCACGTAGATTAAAATGCAATTGGTAAGAAATTATTCATAGAATATGGTATGCCAGCGGATCAATTTTTGTCGGTATTGTGATTGACAGTAAACAATAACTTTCGCTGCAATTTGAAGAGAAGGATTCCACAAGATGCAAACGTAAGAGTGTGCATAATTGTTTGTTAGGCAATTTACTGTACCAGGGAATAATTGTATGAAATTCTAGCCAATGATCGAGTAACGACTCTCATTGTACTCATGTGAAATACTCAAAGGGCACACAATTTATGAATACTCGGCATGATGTACTTCCTGAATATATTCAGAAACATGTTAAAAGATTGATGTATAATGTCTGGTCGGCTTAGGACTTTATCGGTTTATTTATTCCCGGCATGTTACGCAATTATCGGAAATGATGTAAAATATTCTTGCTGTGTTATTCGAGGTAACTACAGCGTGTGGTAACAAAATTATGTACTGTATTTCTACAATTACAGACGTAATGAGATAAGTTTAAATTTATTTAAGTTGTATTGTTAAATAAACGATCTAATCCTGATGTTGCACCTCAGTTGGGGACCTGTCTCAGTTCTGGGACCGAGACAACTGAGTTCCACAACAATGATACAAACGTGCTCAGTAGAAAGTAATAACCACATATAATGTTTTTGTTCAGTAGACAGACACGTTTTTTATTTACGGTCAAATAAAAGTTATTGCAAACCACAATATTTTTTTTTGAAACACACTGCATTACTAAATTATAAACATTGAAAGTGTTATGCATAATGATAAATTAGTAATACGTGGTGGTTCATAACCTGAATTGCCATAATACCAATATACATGTACAATAAAGTGACTATTTAGTAACCTGTTCCGATAGACAGCCAGAAATCATACATCAATGATTTTATGACGAATCAGGTTCGCCATCTCCACCATCGTTATTATTATCATCGATCGGGTGTGGATCGGGGTTGGTTCCACCTTTGGAACCACCACCAAGGTGAGGAGGACATCTCTTCCATCCATTGCAATTGACTACGTGGCGGTCCCCGTTGATTGGAATCAGCCTTTTGTTCAAGTGACTTAGTAATCAGAAATAAGTTTGGTGAGTGCGAAATAAATATGGGTTTATAATATCAGTATTAGTAGTAACAGATTCACCAATTTACTCGACGCATTGAAATTTTCCTCTCTCTTATTTTAATCTCGATATAACATTTACCTTTCATTGAACGGGAGTGGTATTGACACAATGACATTTGCAAGTGCAATAACGGCGAAGGCGATAAGGGTTAAGCGAAGAAGCTTGGTCATTTTGTTGGAGAGTAACAAGACGTTTAGGGTAGATGCGGAGTTGATATGTCAAGAGAAAGTCGATAAGACCAAGTGGATTGATTTCTTTCTGCAAAGAATGTGAGGATTTGTATTGACTAAGACCCAAGCTCAGTCGAGGAAATTGTTCTATGCCTATCGGGGAGTACTCTTACAGCGTATTTATATTGATTGGGCAGGTATAAGAAATTAGCGCCAAGAGTTTGTCATACATAAAATCCTGTGATTCCATTGTTCAGAGAAAAAGATGACTTATCCATAATGCTTGTGTGAACGAATCACTAATAATAAAGCTGTCTACATGCCCTTTCTCGTCATTTTTATGTGACACGAAATTTGTTCTACTTCGGCAACGTTTTAGAAGCTATAGCGATAGTAATAGACGAAATGAAAAAGGATTAAATTAGTTAAAAGTTAAATATGCTAATTAGGGAATACTTATCAACCAAAAATTGACCAAAGTATTTAGAATGTTATATTTACTGGGGTTTCGCCTGGTCTTATATTAACTTGACCTTGACTTGAAAAAGTCACTTGTACGAGCAAATGCCTTCAGTTGTACTTGTCCGCATCCATTTGTTATGGCTATGGGTCATCTTGGACTAGCTACGTACGTATAATGTGGTGCTTGATGATACAGATATTGGATTGCATATTCAAACAGACTACTCTGGAAGATTTGAAGAACCTGCAAAAAACATTTCCAGACACCACACACAGACCCAATTCCAGTCACTCCAGTCCGTAGAACGTCTGGTTACATGATCCATTCCACGACGATTCAAGCTCAATACATTTCACCAAAGCGTATAAATTCAAACACAGCTGGTATATTTGCAATAACAATAATATTGATCGAAATATTTAATTTGTTCAAATGCACTGCGAGTAATATTATATGACAGTTTACAGAATTAAATATGAGAGTCAAAAATATTTACGGCTTCTTTTGTGCTAATTGTAGAAGATATTCCGTTTAAAACGCCGAGATGTTAAAATCACAGTCCTGCAACAATTCTTCACTTCCCAATTACGTTGTAGGACTATCACTAAGTAAAGACACAAACTCGAGTTGCTCTAAAAATCAACCAGTAACGCAGCGCTCGCAAGAATAACAATTATCGAGCAGTTAATTATTTATCGCTAATTTTATTGTAGTGGTGAACAATCGAAAGATATTAAATTCTGAAAACGAAATCTTATTATCTTGAGATCGATAATAAGCTCTTCATGTCAATGGTATTAATACTCTAACACAGGTGCATTAAAAATCTCTGGTAAACGCTCTGGCTTGGCAAATAGGGTTGCCTCTTTAATTGCGAAACGCGCGCTATACTTCCCAACCTATAGGCTATTAGCCTATCCCGCTAATAAAAATAGTCGTAGGAATCGACGTTAAATAGTGATCCATAATTTTCGTCTACATACCGATCTCGAGTGCGTAAAGTGTCTGAAGAATTTTTGACAACGACTGCAAGGACTTTCAGGCAGAAAGGCTTAAAACGTCACATAGAAGCAAGTCGAGGGAGTTCTTTGAAGGAATGTAGTGATTGATTTTGAAATCTTATGTACTTTTTTAAGAAATAAAATACTCATCTTTTGAGATGCTGTCAAAACCTGCTTGAACAACTTTTCAACATTCTGAAACTTCCTCCCACGCAGTTCTTTTTTTTATTCTAGGAAACAAAAAAGTTGCAAGGAGCTACGTAATAGTCAAACCAAGTTTTTATTATCAGTAATAATATTATGAAAACCTGTAACCGCACCGCATCATTATGTCAATAACAATATGATGTAAACATATATTACTTAAAATCTTTTATTGGTTAGTGCCTACCCAGGCGATTTTCTTTATGTTATAAAAATTATGTAGCCTGCATATAATTTAACCAATTATGGCTTAAATTCTTATTTTCGTTAAATTAAATCTAGGCCAGTCGACTCACCAATAAGCGGTAAGGGAATATTAGTATAACGTAATGCTGAGCTTAAAGCCGCAGCAAACCTTCCTATTTCTGCGAACAAGTTTAATATTTCATGTTTCAGATTAATCTCTTACTATACCTTAACGAACAAACAACGCAAATGATGAGAAAGAAAATATAGACGGCTTTATTAATAACAAGCATCGTTTTACAATCTTTCCTACCACGGACGAGAATAAAACATCTTATGTATGACAGCATTGACGTTATTACATTGGCTAAGAAAACGCAACTATAATAATAAGCAAGATTATAAATATGCTATAAGAGTATTCCCCCGATGGGCATAGAACGATTTCCTCGACTGAGCTTGAATCTTAGTCAATAACCTCCTTGACTGAGCTTGGGTCTTAGTCAATAACACAAATATCAAACCTCATCGCTTGGTTTTCTCGATCTCACACCAAATCCGCATCCACTCTAAAAATCAAAGACGTCTTGATAATGACCAAGCTAATTCGTTTAACTTTTATCGCCTTCGCCGTTATTGCACTTGCAACTGCCATTATGCCGATGCCACTCCCAGTCAATAAAAGGTAAGTGTTATGTCGAAATTAAAATGGGAGAAAAGAGAGAGAGAGAGAGAGAGAGAGAGAGAGAGAGAGAGAGAGATATTTCAATACTTCGAGTGATTGGTGAATCTCTTAATGCTACTATTAATATACTTACGTTTGTCTCGTGCTTACCAAACTTTTGTTTCTAAAACCATCGACTACCAAGTAACTTCAAGAAAGATATGGCCCCGCAGAATCGCCACGGAAAGACTTGCCATAAAGGATGGGACTCTTGGTGTCTTCCTTTCATTAATACTAAACCCATAGGTAATACCAACAACGGCGGGCACGGCAAATAGTCGGCGAATCTGATTCGTCATGAAATGATTGTATCAGCAGCTCAATACTTTATTGGTCTATGTTGCATTGTTATAAAACCATTTATATATTCTTGATTAAATTGATATCATTATTGATGTGAACTAGTCCATATGCATAGTATTTTAAAAAATGAGCATCTGGGTATACTTGTAATAAAATATTTAATCTGTTCTGAGTGTGATAACTAACGTAGTACTGTGAGCAATCTTATCATTTTGAAGAATGAAATATGAGTCAAATATGAGTTTTCAGCCATTATTGTAAAGTTCCAAGTTAAAGATCTGAAAACTTGTTTAACAAAATGTAAGCACAAAAGTGGTAGTGGATATTTCAAGTTACCATGTTTAATATTTACTTTCTTAACTTTAACTAAATGGCCGAATTTACCCGCGTTTCTACGTTTCTTGCTCGTTAATTATCTTCGTTCCAATACAAATAAGAAATAAGCAGTATTGGCATTATGGATCGATTAAAAATACCAAAATTAAAGTTTAGACTGTTAAAAACATTTGACCTGTTAAAACTTTCTGCTTTTCAAAGCGAAATTTATGGCTCTTTTTTTTTCAACAAACGTCAGTATTTGAGGTTGTAAAGAGGTATTAAATGTAAAAATGTTTTTATTTAACGGCATATAAATACGTTCAATTTATAGAAACGCGCAAGACGCCAAAAATCATTGTCTAGCGATAATGCTTTATTATTATTATTCTCAATTACATAATCCACATCTCGCCATAAAAGAATCAGCTTGATTGGTTTTGGCAATAAGAAAATAAATATGCCTAATTATTAAACACATAAAAATAATTACTATAAAAATTTTATAAAAGAAAACACACACACACACACACACACACACACACACCAGCATGCCGGAACAGCGACGGCAAACTTCAAATTCAGAATGCCCGCACTACTGGATGTACGTCATACAAGTTTATGATGCATTTTATAATTTTTCAAATAGATCGTGCTGAACATATGTCGAACAGTACATATTCGTTACTTGGCCTCAACGTAGAAATTGTTTTAACCTGAAGTTATTAGTACAAGAGTAAACAGAATTATTTAGGGATTAGCTAATATGGAATTGGTTTAATTCATGTAACAAACGGTAATTATCTTACCTAAAAACGAGTTTTTTTGTCTGATGTTTTCGTATTTTCAGAATTTAAACAGTTTTCTCAGATTTTTTGCTTTCGTATTGTTCTCGAATGTATTGGTCGACTACGGTTTCAATCCATTGCAAATAATAAAAACTTTCTGACAAGACATTTTAGATATTGTTGACAAGAGTACAGACAATGTTATATAACAAAGAAAATTATATCGTGACAAAATGACGGAAATGGGTGGTATTTATAGCTATTCGTTGGTTATCACCAAACTGAATAAAAAAATAGTAATGGTTGTAAGTATTATATAAAGTAACTATAAGCTAACCAATGATATAAAATTAATTGTGCCGACGTTTACAAAGGTGTGAATTTAATAAACAAAATCAAGCCAAGACGAAATACAACGCATCATACAATATGTGTGCTAAATTATTGGGTCTCGAAAACACAGTTTATTATCATACGATTTATGACACAATCGAACGTTATCTTTACCTGATTTATGATTATCGAACGCGATCTTGTTAATGTAGATATAATTATACTTAAAATTATTGGAATATCGACATGTAATTTTAGCAGTTACGGGTAGATTGTAAATGTACGTCGCTTTTGTCAATGCATGTGAATCTAATCGTACGATGATTGCATTAAAATTATTGTACAATTTTAGATCATGGTTATTGATTTGATGTTTGCATTTTAATGTTTGTATTTCAATGTTTTTATTTTGATATTAGAGTGTAATTGTGTATTGAAATTATTGGTATAGTTTTCGCATTACGTAAACGTAGTCTATTTTGATTCAATTGTATGATGATTTTCCTTAAAATTATTGGACATTAAACTTATAAGTTTTAGCATCACGGTTAGATTGTATGTTGATGTTTGTAAGTAATATACAACATTCAATCTGACAGGCTGACAAATACTAAAAACTTCATGACATTTGATCTTGTGTCTTTTAATAATGTGATAGCAATATGCTTTGAGGCTTGATATCAGTTTTATAATGCCAAATCAGACATACTGTAATTCATACTTCGATAGTTGAAGGCCATTTGCCTCTAAGAAGAATAATAACATCACATAATTTTATGCAAATTATCGTATAAATTAGATGCAAGTTATTATATATTAAATATTGCAAATAAAGCAAACTTTGTATATTAATATGGAAGAAATAATAAAAGAGGGCACTGTTAACATGGTAGCAAGTTATTAATAATTTAGAGGTAGAGAAAGCTGAGACAAATCTCACGCACAACTTAAATGTGACCAGTCAAATAATATTATCAAAAATAACATAAAATAAAAATAAAATAAAAGTAAGAATAAAAAAGACAAAATTTAATAACAAAAATTTTCCCGACATTATTGTCTTTATAAGATTAATGGACACTGCCAAACGGCATTATGCGTTACGACATCCTGCCTCATCTCAGGTGCATTTCCTCTCCCAATGGCCCTGACTCCCTCTCCTCCCTCCCCCCACCCACTGATCCCAACAGTGGTAGGAAAGCAAACATTTAATTTCTAGAAAATACAAGTATTTGATATTAATAATATTGGGATAACTCGTGAATATAAGGATATGAAATCTAGTTACCGGATGTCATTTAAAACTGGTACGGCGTAATACTTGTCGTTTTCAGCTCTTACAGCTTCAAAAACCAATATTATGAAAATAATTGATGACAGAGCTTGAATAAACTTCATAGTTAGGTGTGGGCGGATTAAGTGCTTGATGTGCAGTTGTTGTGACAACACCTATTTTATAGCTTATAAGTTTGCATGTGATTACGTACCAAGTTTGTTATCACATTCTCTGATTTTAAACCTTTTATCAACACGCATATAGAAAATTCTTTAAGTAATGGCACTCCGCAGCAAGAAAATTAAATTTAGCAGGGTATTATTACCAAAAAGAGTATTTTATACACATGAAAAAATTTAATTTTCTGGTAATCACATACACATTGATGGGCAAAAATTTTACGAAAATATATATATATATATATTTTAATAATAGTAAGTTGAAGCAGATAAAATAGGTTTATCACGTAAAAGCGTGCAGGCAATAATTGATTGCAAATATTAGCTAGTTACATATATCGGAAGTAATTCTTGGTTGCCTTTATTCTATTAGCGTGATTTGACGGAGTAATCGTTCTCATTGTGTAAGCATAAAATATCAACCTACTACCGCAGTGTTCACATGCTATATTGAAATGTCAGGACAGTTTTCTTTGACACCTGGTCGTATTGCTTGCATTAGAAATGGAACTTTATATCCGCAAAAAGAATAACCGATACAAGTAATATAAATTGCCTTGATTGCGCACACCCACTGGCGTATAACAAATGCTGTTAACACATATATTTATGTGAGTCATTCTGGGCTATAAATACCTTGTCAACGACGAATCATATAACTGACATGAAGATTTCTGAACTAGCGTAAATAGGGCAGCAAGCTTTGGTTTCACATGCTTGTTAACATATTACCGTATGTTAAATTTTCACCTTCATCGCTTTGATGCATAATCTTATCCTAATATTAATTAATATATTTTTATCTGTCATTTACGAGCATCTTAAGATTATGCTCCCGTAACTAGTTTGACATCTCATGTTGCACAGTATGATAGCTAGGCGATCCTTATCAAGACAAGACTAACATCAATAGCGTTAGACCTTAACTTCTAATGCTGATCATTGAAATGTCGGTAGTGAGATCTGGGAATTAGTATTAGGTTGAAGAAACATACCTATGGTTTGATTATTTTGTACGTATAGGTGGAATGTCGTTGAAAAAAAGAAATACTGTATGATGGAATAGATAAATCATAATCTGAAGCTTTATATCGTGTGACATCTTGCAACGATCAAATATAGGCGATGACAGACAAATTACCGGACTTCGTTACCGGACTTCGTAGTACAATAAACATGAATAGATTCTGGCGCATCTTATTGGTGCGGCAACAATCTGATTGGCGCAATCAGATGATAATCAGATCTATTTTTACGGAGTGGCAGGAAAGGGAGACATTGTCCTTTCTTATCTGAACAATGACAGTTGGATATATATAAACATACATGTGCCCAACATTTCAACAATCCATTAGCAACTTGCACACCAACTAAAATGCATGCTTTATCCACTCTTAAAATCCCCCGATGCTATGTTACGAAGGAAGGTGATTACATAAGTAGCGATGTTCGGCCTTCGTTGGTGGTAGATATTTCAGCCGATAGTATTCTTCGGACCTTTAAGACGAAGGAGGAGGATCTGGATCGTTTCTACCGGGCCTTTCTGATGGTGGCCGTCCGTCCGTGGACTCAGGTCTTGACATATGCCGAACATTACTTTCCGTCCGCGAAGTTCACTTACGAGGCACCCGACGTGACGTTCAGCATTCATAAACATGAAAAATGCGCACCAACTTCTGTCAAACATTATCAGTAGTCGCCGCAGTCGCCGGGTCATCGGACATACACAGCAGGAAACGCTCTTAAAGTCCCGATGAGGCATTTATTGATATGAAAAATGCGCATGCTCTTATCCACTCTCAAAATCCCCGATAAGGTATTTATGGACATGATGACATGAAAAATGCGCATGCTCTTATCTACTCTCAAAGTCCCTGATAAGGCATTTATGGACATGAAAAATGCGCATGCTCTTATCCACTCAAAGTCCCCGATAAGGTATTTATGGACATGATGACATGAAAAATGCGCATGCTCTTATCCACTCTCAAAATCCCCGATAAGGTATTTATGGACATGATGACATGAAAAATGCGCATGCTCTTATCTACTCTCAAAGTCCCCGATAAGGCATTTATGACATGAAAAATGCACACCAACTTCTGTCAACTAAAATGCATGCTCTTATCCAATCTCAAAGTCCCCGATTCAGTATTCATGGATATGAAAAATAGACAATATTTTGCATGACAATGGTGGATATTAAGTACAACAAAGTATACCACAAAATATTAAAGACATTTGACATTACCAAAAGAAATCTGGCCACTAATGAGTATCTCCTTCATTGTGATGCTGCTCTATAAACGGCGACATATTCTCTCCTAAATTTCTGCATTACTCCGGGGAATCAATCTGAATTACAAGCATCGGTACAAATATCGTGGGTACACAAACATCGATGTCGTATTGCTGCAGTGGAACAGAATTAATAATAATAGAAAAGTAATTAGCAGCGATACAGTGCCCCTTGAAACGTTTAATAAAATCGTTGCGCATGTTCCCGGTTCGCTCGCCACTACTACGGGAATCATTATTTATTTTCTTTTCCTCCGGGTACTAAGATGTTTCAGTTCTCCGGGTTCACTTCTAAGTATCATGAAACTTAGACCTTACAAAAGTAAAAATGTATACTGAGAATAATAGCTTAGAAAATTAGTAATAGCTGCTAAAAATATATTAATCGGTGTTTCGCAGTGTGAATTTGTTTCTTTTATTCCATAATATTATTGTTAATAAACGAGTATCGCATTTACTCTGAACCTATATCATTGATACCCTGTTCTCTAAATTAGTCGATATATCTGAGAAACCGCTTATCAACGAACCTCTCGTCCCGCGATTGTCTGAGTGGCGAATTACGATATTCAATTGTTATTTAGAAACGCGTTTATTCTTAATTGTATACCGTTGTAGGCTATCGAATTAATCCCACGATAGTAACCGACAGAGTTACTCGAGTACAATTAACGTATCTCGGATTAGTATCACTCTACGACGAGAAAAGGTTTTTCGTAAGTGTAAAAGTCCTGATTTAAAAAGTCGCAATTTCAGAAAATGTTTGTACCACTTGAGCAAAGAATACGTCACGCTTGGGCCTCGATCCTGACAACGCTCGTGTTTTCTTTTCTTACGAAATCGATGGTTTGTCTACAATAATTAGTCTCGTCTGATGAGATGGCATAAATATCTAAATTCTTGATCAATGCATGTCCTTGGGTTCTGCGTTGTATTAGTTTTATGCAAAATGAGCAGACGTTCAATTGTCATTATAATCGTTTTTAAATATTATAATAATGTCAAGTGTTTGTCCAGCCATTAACAACGAAGGCAGAAGATTCAATCACTTTTTTAATCTCTGATACTAAAATACCGTAAATCTCGATTTGAGCATAATGATAAAGACGATAACTTAATAATTAATGAAGACCAGTTCAAGTGCTCGCAATTAATATGTAAATGTTTAATGTGACGTTATGAATATTACATGCAATTCCGAGCTTGGGATGAGAGATAAAGGAGATTCACTTAAATAAAAGATAAAGTGTTAGTCAAAGATAATCATGCCCGAAAATTATTTCACGGGTCATAATTGATCGGCATAACACTTATTTCTACACTTTTACTGTATCATTGGTCTAATAATGGATATCATGTTCAACCTATCGATTATTGTTTGAGCAGAGGAGTGGCAATATGAAATTGATTGTGTGATCGTGCATTCTATTTTTATGCAAATTTTGCAGGTATGATAAAGCCGTTTAGACAAAAACAGTAACAGCAGCAACCTTTTAAATGTTTATACACAGTGAAAGTCGATATAACGGTTCGTTGATATAACGGATTTTGCTTAGTACGGATTTTTTTTCTTGGAACCAAAATTTTACTAATAAATATAGCGGATTTTACTATTAAACTGTTGTATTGCGGTTCCGGAT